AACCGAGTATCGTTTAACCGATCCCCATCCCCAGCGGCGTGGTCTGGGCCCCACTGGCCGATTCACCCCCCTAGATGGGGATGTAGGTCGTCCCCTTCGGGTTTCGAGGGGTGTATCCCCAACAGGAGTTGTAATCTGGTAGGAGTGTCGAAGGGGATGGGGATGGGGATGGGGTTCGTTTAACTTGGTGAAACTTGGGAGGGGGGGGGGGCGTTTTTTATGCCCTTTAGTAATCGCGTCCTTCCCCATGGTGGGACTTGGGAGGTGGGGGCCCGGTTTCTCTGATCGGGAGCCCACATCAGGAGCGGGGTGCGTCTCGGAGGGAGCCGGTGTGAAGGGGCCCAGGGACACACACACACACGGCAAACAGGCACAAGTCCGCTGGTTCTCCTCGTGCTTGCCCATGTTTTCTTGGTTTGCGTCTTCTCCCCCCCACCCCCCCGCTTCCCACATTCTTCCAGCATGTTTGTTGGGGTTTTTGTTTTTTTGTTTTGTTGGGGGGCGGAAAGATACGGATACGTGTTGTCCCCGGACCTCTCTTGGGGTGCGTTCTGACCAGAATTTCGAGGCGAATCCAGCGGTGACAACGAGGATTCCCCAGGAGGACCAGGAAAGGCCGAAAACGAAGGGGGACAACACGTATCCGTATCTTTTTCTCCCCCGAATTTTTGTGGAAGCCGACGTTTGATGATTGTGTGTCTGTGTGTGGACCTCCCTCCCGACAGTGAGCACCGACTCGCCCATCCCCGTCCCCACGGGCGTGGCCTGGGCCCCGCTGGCCCGAGCCCCCCCTGGCCCATGTGCCCCCCTGGCCATCGCTCGGAGGTCCGTTCCCTGTGTTTTGTTGCGGTTTCGTGCGTGGCTTTTCCGCCAAATGATCAAGGATTCTCCTCGATGGCCCTCGCCCTCGGACGTCCGAGCGACGCCAAGCCCCCTGGCCCTCACTGGGGTGGTGAGATAGCAGCGACCGGGATGGGGATGGAGATGGGGATAGAAAGCGGTTTGACGATACTGAGCAAGAGTAGTATCCAAGGCACGCAGCCGTTCCGGGGCCTCCCGAAGGGGGCCCGATGTATCTCCGATGCGTCGGCGACGTCAACGTGGAAGAAAGTGGGGCTCCACATCGAGCTGCATCGCCGATGCATCGGCGATGCGGCGCGATCCTTCGGCCCCATCCACTCGGACCCAATTTGGGAGGCATAGAGCCATGGGGAACGCATCGGCGCTTTACAGTGGAAGTAGTACAAGGCCTTCGGGCAGGAACGACGGAGCAGCACGCTGACGGGAAAGAGTTCAAATCAGATCGGCGGCGCCAAAACGCGCAACAGAACCATGCAAACCCCGGGCCGCATCTGGTCGTCGGAAGATCGACATCGCACGGGCTCGAACCCACTGGGATCGATGCCGAATCGATTCGAAGTGGGCCCTGACCTGTCGCTGCCCTGCTCGCCGTTGTAGGTTCCGTTGTCGCACTCTATGCATGCGGACGCCTCGTCGACGTTGGTGTATTTGCCCTGGTCCACGCCGCGGACGTTTCCGTGCCCACCGATCTGAAGACGTGCCCCCGGGCATCTCGCGTTAGGTCGGGCATGTCCCCCTTACAGGCCGATTTTGGGCGAAAAATTGAAAATAGTCAAAACATATTCCCAAATGGTCACAAATACCAAACAAATAGTTCCCAGACTATTGTTTGACTATTTTAGGAGATTCCCCCTGTAGAGGGACAGGCACGACTCAAATCTCGCGATGCGTTGGATGTGGACACCGCCCCCCCCCGAGGGCGGGATTCGTGGTGCGGATCCCTGCGGGAGCTTATGCAGAGATGGCGCGATTGGCCCGAAGGAAGCGTCTGCAGGCGCGTGAATTAGAATCGGGGGGACGTAAAACGCGGGTTCGGGGGACTCGGGTTGGCCGGACGGGGCCATCAATGAAAAAGACGAAACCCGATCTGAAATTTGACGCGCGAACTCCCGCTGCAGACATCCCACGACAACCGGACCGTGAAAATCCAGGACGCGCTCGTCAAAAAACGTCGGGGATCTTCTGACCCGGGTCAATCCAGACCCGGGTCAGTCAGGCCTTACAGAATCCTGCAAGATCCTGCACCCAAACCAAGGTCAATGCGAAGGACCCTGCCAAATCCTGCAGGATCCTGCACCCCAACCCGGGTCAATGCGACCCTGTCCCTTCAGGAGCCTGCAAGATCCGGCGCTCTGGCTGACCCCCGTTTGCACTGATCCCCGTCTCAAGGTTACCGAAAACGTCGGCAAGCCCGAGTTCCGGCTTACTCGAGTCCTGTTTCCCCGATCGAATCATGAACAACTCCAACCTCACCTCTCGGAGAACTGGCCGCCCCAATGGACCAAAGCTTCCTGGAATCACCGCAGGCCAACCCTCCACAAGTTCGGACACTCGAACTCGGATCAGCGATATGCCGGATCGGGACCTGATCGGATCGGAATCGGAAACCCAGCATAGAAGGCCACAGACCCCGAAGATCCTTCCAATTGAGGGATGATGAACAAAAACGGCCCTGCCCTGGGCTACAAGTGTGGAGGGGCCCAAGGACACACGAATAAAAACACACAGATCCCAGGATTCCCCATATGTTCAAATATGTTCTGGGTTTTCGTCTTCCCCCTCACTTCCTATCTTTTCCCATCTTTTCCTAGGAATCGACGATACATTGTGTCTGTGTGCTTTTCCCCTCCTCAAAGTGCGTGGTCTGAAAACCTCCTGGGGACCCCCAAAACCTAGAGAGCCGCCAGGACGCCGCACATCACGCAGGGTTTACCCTGTCAGCCCACAGGAGTTTCAGCGCACACCGCCTCGTAAACCAGGGTCGGGGGCTTCTGATGCCCTTGATCCAAGAGGTCCCTGGAAGGCATTCCGAGAGGCCCACACATGCATCCCAGAGGCCGCTGGCCCGGGCACAGTGGCGGGATGGACCGAAGGCCCAAACGTGGCCCTCCATGTGCCAAGAAACTGCAGCACCTGAACAAATGGCCACGGACAACAGCGTCCAGATTTAAGTCGGGCCTGTCCCCCTACAGGGGGATTTTGAGCGAATCAAGAAATCGTCCCCAGACTATTTTTTGACTATTTTTGAAGATCCCTCCTGTAGAGGGACGGGCCCGACTTCAATCCAGATCCCTGCAAGCACACGGGCAGGTGCAAAAAACGATGGCGCCCTGTGGGCCGCAGGAGCGAGCGAGCGGCCACCCGCTCCGTGGCGCGCGGAGCGCACGCCAGGGAGGTCCTCGGCGCCGACCAAAAGAGATCCGCCTGGAGCTCCGAGATTTGACGTGTCGGCCGTGTCTCTTCTTCGAGTGATGAGAGATCCTCCTCCTCCTCGTCCATACCCTCCTCCTCCTCCTCCTCCTCCTCCTCCTCCTCCTCCTCCTCCCCCTCCCCCTCGGCCTCCGCCGCCTCCTCCTCGTCGTCCTCCTCCTCCTCCTCCTCCTCCTCCTCCTATTCGAGGGCACGTCTCCGAATCGGTGGGTACAGTGCGGGCTTGGCCGCAAGAAACCCTCGCAAGAAACCCAGCCCTGAAACCCGCAGGCGCGGGGTGCAAACTAAGGGGAGCCCAGAGCAACCCGAACGCAGCAGCTCCTTCAACGGCCACGAAAAGCCACAGCGCAGCGCGCGGAGGAAAGAAACCAAGGGTACCCTGACGAAAAGCATATGGTTTCTTGATGCGCGCCCCCACTGTGTGGACGATTCCGCGGCGCGGTCCTCTGGACACACGTCGCATGCGGTCGCGCCCTCAGCGGACGCGGTCCCTCGCTGACAGCTCAGGCACATCTCAGCGCCGTCGTTCGAGCTGAATGTCCCCGCCGGGCACTGCTCGCATGAAGTCGAACCTTCTTCGGCTGAGAACTCTCCGGGCTGGCAAAGCTCGCATCCGCTTGACCCATTGACATTGTTGAAAGACCCCTCCTCGCAATCGGAGCACGCGTCGCTCTTGATGTGATCCGTGAACCTCCCGGCCGAGCACACCTCGCAGAGGTCCATCCCGAACGATCCAGCGAACCTGCCCACGGTGCACTCAAGGCACTCACTCATGCCCAACCTGTCGGCGTACATCCCCAAACCGCACTGGGTGCAGACGGCTGCCCTGTCGTGGGCGTACCGACCAAAGTCGCAAGCCTCGCACTGGGAGGACCCCGCCTGTGCCGCAAA